TGTACAGCTCAGAGTTCCTCTACATTATAACGACACCACATGTGAAACGTGCCGCTGAGGTAACCGGCTCCTCTCCCAGCCCGTGTTCAGCCCGCTGCCTCCTTATGCTGGCACATCTGCATCCGTTAATGGTTTCATGAGTCTACAGCCGTGCGAGCAGCTCTGAGAGGCTGCACGGCGACGGATGGCGAGATACATCAGCACGAATCAACGTGCAGACCGACGAATACGATCTCCGTCCACGCCAGCGTTTTAGCTGCAACTGAGAACGCACATCTGGTGGCCGTTCTCGCACACTGGGCACGTGCGAGCCGGTGATCGGGAAGCAGATTGTCTACGCCGCAGTTTTCTGAAGAACGTTCTACTAGAGACGAACACAGCAGCGATGGTTTGAGCGTTAGCGTTTCCCCTTGTGCAGTGAGGCGCCAGACACCCATCACATCAACAGCACACTCACCATCCATAATACGTGGTTTCTATTTACGGACCAAACTGATGGAAAACGTCCACAAATCCGTCACATCGTGGATTTTGTTGAAGGAGCAGTCAACATTTGGGGAAATGTTCCAACGAGCTGGAGCCACGAGACGCTAAGCTAAGCACAGGAACAGCTCGCCTGGCTGGTTCCAGCCGCTAACTCCGCCTTTTATTTCCATTTCTGTCAGTGAACACACTAAACAAACAAGATTAAGTGAGCTTTAGAGCACTCAACCGTTCTCAACCGTTTTCATGTCAAGGGCCCCCAAACTGACACTAATCAGACCACTGATTGATAGAACTTTAGCTTTTAGATGTTTTATTACTCACAGTGACCAAAACAATCTCACATCCTAGCCGGTAAGTCATTGTGGTACTTGTGGATGGAATTATAGTGAAAACTAATTATTCCCCTTTCTGCTGGGGACCCCGTGGAACCCCTCAAGGACCCCGGACCCCACTGCTTTAGAGGACAGAGCCAGGCTAGCTGTCTCCTAAGCTAGACTAGAACCACATCTTAACCTCAGCTAGGATCTACGGCCATGACGTCAGAACCAGCGGAACATTTAGGATCTACTGCCATGACGTCAGAACCAGCAGAACATTTAGGATCTACGGCCATGAAGTCAGAACCGGCAGAACATTTAGGATCTACGGCCATGAGGTCAGAACCAGCGGAACATTTAGGATCTACGGCAATGAAGTCAGAACCGGCAGAACATTTAGGATCTACGGCCATGAGGTCAGAACCAGCGGAACATTTAGGATCTACAACCATGAGGTCAGAACCAGCAGAACATTTAGGATCTACAACCATGAGGTCAGAACCAGCAGAACATTTAGGATCTACGACCATGAGGTCAGAACCAGCAGGACATTTAGGATCTACAACCATGAGGTCAGAACAAGCAGAACATTTAGGATCTACGACCATGAGGTCAGAACCAGCAGAACATTTAGGATCTACGGGCTTGACGTTAGAACCAGCGGAACATTTAGGATCTACGACCATGAGGTCAGAACCAGCAGAACATTTAGGATCTACGGGCTTGACGTTAGAACCAGCGGAACATTTAGGATCTACGGCCTTGAGGTCAGAACCAGCAGAACATTTAGGATCTACGGCCTTGACGTCAGAACATTTAGGACCTACTGCCATGAAGTCAGAACCAGCGGAACATTTAGGATCTACGACCATGACGTCAGAACATTTAGGACCTACTGCCATGAAGTCAGAACCAGCAGAACATTTAGGATCTACGGCCTTGAGGTCAGAACCAGCAGAACATTTAGGATCTACTGCCATGACGTCAGAACCAGCAGAACATTTAGGATCTACGACCATGAGGTCAGAACCAGCAGAACATTTAGGATCTACGACCATGAGGTCAGAACCAGCAGAACATTTAGGGTCTACTGCCATGACGTCAGAACCAGCAGAACATTTAGGATCTACGACCATGAGGTCAGAACCAGCAGAACATTTAGGACCCACAGCCATGAAGTCAGAACCAGCAGAACATTTAGGATCGACGACCATGACGTCAGAACATTTAGGACCTACTGCCATGAAGTCAGAACCAGCGGAACATTTAGGACCTACAGCCATGACGTCAGAACCAGCAGAACATTTAGGACCTACTACCATGAAGTCAGAACCAGCAGAACATTTAGGATCGACGACCATGACGTCAGAACATTTAGGACCTACAGCCATGACGTCAGAACCAGCAGAACATTTAGGACCTACTGCCATGAAGTCAGAACCAGCAGAACATTTAGGATCTACGACCATGACGTCAGAACATTTAGGACCTACAGCCATGACGTCAGAACCAGCAGAACATTTAGGATCTACTGCCATGAAGTCAGAACCAGCGGAACATTTAGGACCAACATTCAGAACTTTTGGATGTGAAAGTCGTGGATGAAAAGGCAGATTCATTTTTCTCTGTTTAAAAACGGATGAAGATGTGATGGGATGATCTCAATACCAGAGCGGAGTGGGGGGGCGGGGTTTACCTGGATCGGGGGGTAGGGGTTGGAGGAGCAGGAGGGGAGGGGGCTGTCCTCGCCGTGGGGATAGAGAGTGGAGGGCGTAGGGGAGGGGAGCTCCGGGAGGTGCTGTCCTAACACAGAAGAGCCGTCAAAGATGCACTCCAGAGACGCTACCTACAGGATACAGGAGGGGAGGAAAGACGGAGTCTCGCAGAGGTCAAAATACAGCAAAGGCAAAGAGGAGAGAGACAGTTCGTCCTTACGGAGGTCAGACAGACAGAGAAGGTGAGAGTGAGCGAGCAGAAAGGGGTTGGGAGGGTTTCCTTAAATGTTTTGTTGACTAGAGGCTCTGAAACTAGTTGCTTCCTGTCTGTAGAGTGAGAACAAAGACGATTGGATAAATTCTTGGCCTATATTTCAGGACAAGTTGTCCGACTCCACCGTGAAGGAAACCTGACGTTCAGTCAGTGAGGCTGTTGTTGACTCTAAACTGAGCACGGCAGACTAAATGTAAAGCAAAGATCTTTACAGGGAATGATATAGTTTCCCTGGATGGCATCGCCCTGGCCTCCAGCACCACCGTGAGGAATCTTGGAGTTATCTTTGATCAGGACATGTCGTTTAAGTCTCACATTAAGCAAATTTCAAGGACCCTGATTGCGAAAATCAGGAACATCCTGTCTAAAAATGATGCAGAAAAACTAGTCCATGCATTTGTTACTTCTAGACTGGATTACTGCAATTCCTTATTATCAGGCTGATCGAAAAAGTCCGTTAAGACTCTTCAGCTGATCCAGAATGCTGCAGCACCTGTTCTGACAGGAACCAGGAAAAGAGATCACATTTCTCCTGTTTTAGCTTCTTTGCATTGGCTTCCAGTAAAATCCAGAATAGAATTTAAAATCATTCTTCTTACCTACAAAGCTCTTAATGGTCAGGCACCATCTTATCTTAAAGAGCTCATAGTACCTTACTACCCCACCAGAGCACTGCGCTCCCAGAATGCAGGGTTACTTGTGGTTCCTAGAGTCTCCAAAAGTAGACTAGGAGCCAGAGCGTTCAGCTATCAAGCTCCTCTCCTGTGGAACCAGGTTCCAGTTTGGGTTCAGGAGGCAGACACCATCTCCACATTTAAGAGTAGGCTTAAGACTTTCCTCTTTGATAAAGCTTATAGTTAGGGCTGGCTCAGGTGAGTCCTGAACCATCCCTTAGTTATGCTGCTATAGGCCTAGGCTGCCGGGGGATTTCCCATGATGCACTGAGCTCCTCTCTCCTCTACTTTCTCCCCTCTGTATGCAACCTCATCCCATTATTGCATGTTACTAACACAACTTCTCCCCTTTCTGGTAGTCTTGTGCTTTCTCGTCCCTCTCCTCTCTCCTCCTATCACTTCCTGCAGGTGTTTCTGGCTCTGGAGCTGTGGAGTCTGGATCTGTGGTTGCGGGTCACCTGCTGCCCCCGTGTTCCTGCTCGACACCCTCTGCTGCAACAACTATTGTTACTAGTCCTCTTGTTGTTATTGTTATTATAATCATTAACATTACTATAAATATCTGTACCATTTTTTATTTAGTCTATAGCAACATCACCTTTACGGTCTGTCTAGCATAGCATCAACCAACCCTACAATAAATAGATTAACAGGCTGACTTTAAGGATCAGTCTGGAGTTCTACTGTGTTTTTCTAACAGATCATAAACCTGAATCTAATCTGTAAAGGGACAGAAAGGCAGAGACAGAAATCAGAGGTCATATGAAGGCAGACAGTTGAGGCCAAGAGAGGATGAAGACGCGACAGACGGGGGACGGCTTGGTGGGATATAACACAGACAGACCAGCTCACGATGCGATCAGGGTCCTGGAGAGCTACTGAGGCTGTTATTGGGCGGCTGCTCCCTCTGACCCCTCCCACCGATCAGCACCTTTCAAATGAGCCTCCAGCTGATTGACAGGTGGAGCAGGTTCTGGTGGTTAAGTATGTGTTGTGGTCAGGGTTAAACAAATTGGGAAAATCTTTTACGACACAATGCTAGTGTGTCCCCGTGTTCGCTGGTTCATACACTAACGGCAATCAAAGAATTATTTATTTTACCCAATTAAGGCACGAAACCTTCCTGGTTGATTACTCACATTAAGACGATGTTTGTATTACAGGTTTTCTGTAGTTTCTAAATATGCAAATGAGGCAGAATCTAATAAAATATGTGCTAATTTGCATCTATTTCAGGAACTGAACTCTGGATTAAATCAGGTTCAAACTTATTGTTTTATTTTGTTGACTCAAAGGTTTCTACAGAGAGGATTTTAGATCTCTCTTTTTATTATTTCATAAATCAGAAGATACTTGACGACAGGCATAAAAAAAAAAAAAACACATTCAACCTGTATGTGAGTAAAATGTTCTATAATTCAGGCTGTGAATAATATATTAACAAACCCCTCGGTGAAAACCTTCAGAGCGTAGTCAGGAATAAAAACAAAAAGTCTGGCTCAGAGGATGAGGAAAAACTGCCTGTAAAGATGTGTTAGGAAAAACTTCAAACATTTATTGACAAATATCTTTCATTTAGTATCATTTTCTTTCCACTAGTCTGACTTAAAATAAATAAAATTTAAAACAAATGATTGTGTCTAAATCTAATGTGACAGTCTGAGATGTCTGTTTTATTATTATTGTTTCATTAAGTAAATTAAAACAGGAGCACTGTGCTGTAATTTACCAGACGTTACTCATTAAGACACCAGATCAGTGGCGTCCGCTCCTGGTTTTGATCATTAACCTGATTTCAGACGCTGTGACGTCCCCTTCAGGTGTCGGTGTGTTTAAACGCCACACGGTGGCAGGAGAGCTCCACAGAGCGGCCTGAACACATCACTCCTGTTTATCTGAAGTTAATCCGATCTCATGGACTCTGTTACCGTGACCACAGCGGCGTGAAAATGTTTAAGCCCCTGTGAAAGATCAGACGCCACAGAGCAGCTGAAACTGACGGATCTTATGATATTATATCCTATACCGTTACATCAGAGGGCCACTCATTCATTTTCACTCGTTTTGACATTTTGTTTTACAACTTTTAACTTAATTTCTTTTGTTTAGTTTTCTTGTAAACAAACAAAAGTCTTGTTTACATTCAGTGTTAGAATAAAACACAGTGAGGTTTCCTTCCTCATAAAACCCTGCAGTGTTTCCATCCAGCCAACAGCCTTCTTGTTCTTCTGCCTTGGTTGGTGCGTTGCAGCGCCTCACGCCGCCTCACCTCCACCTGTAGATCTGTGGAGTAGCGTGACCGCAGGTAAACTACTACAGGTGTGCAGCTCTGTTTTTACTGTCTCATTTTAATCCTATTTGTAAATTGTTATGTTGTCCAACATAAATAAAGTTATCAAAGTTATTAATATAACATCATCATCTTGTCAGTTTGTTTTGATAATCAATTATTTTTCAACTGATTTAATACATTTCTAGCTGTTGAATGTCAAATTTAAGGACAGAAACAGATTTAGTCTCCAGCATGGGAAACTTTAAATGACTAGATCCTACATTTCCCATAATGCAGCTGGACTGTTCAAGTCTTTAACTCTACGCCTCCGGTCTGTGCGGACGTGTTCACAGGCTGAGGACGACGAACCAGGACCACTTTAGCTGACATCCCAAACTCTGATGGATGCAAAGACTAGTCAACTAATCGCCAACTATTTTCATCATCAAAAAAAGATTTTTGATTCCAGCTTCTTAAATGTGAATATTTTCTGGTTTCTTTGCTCCTCTGTTCCAGGAAACTGAATATTCTTTGGGTTTGGGACAAAAACAAGACGTTTAGGAAGCACTGATCGACATTTAACGGACCGGACAACTAATCGATTAATAAAATTACCACCACATTAATCGATGAAAGTTGCCTCGATGGATCCACATGAATATGACACAAACGGCTGACGCATGAACAGGAAGTCAGATTCTCCAGGAAGTCTGGTTCTGTTCTGTTTTTTATTAAAACAGGCTAGAACACTCTCAGCCGGGGGTTGCAGGACCAGGTCCTGGCTGACCGGGGCCATAAGAAACGTCTGATCCAACACCGTGAGGGACGGCCCCTAATGTGGCCCCTTCAGTCACTGAGTGGCTCATAAAGCTGGATGGACCAGGGATCTTCTTCTACTCTAAAACACAACTCTTCTCTTCTGCTGTCCGAGCAGAACCAACAGGTCCTGACGGAGTATCAGGTCAGGTTTGTTTTTTTCCTCTTTGCTTGTGTCTACAGCTGCAACGACTGGCTGTTAAATTAATCGTCAACAATTTTGGGGGAAAAAAAAATTGCTTTGAGTACTTTTTTAAAATGAATCTAAAATATATTGAAGTTTCACTTTTTGAATTCCATTTTGTTTAGTTACATGAAAATCAGTGCCAAGCGTTTGACAGAGTTTTTAAAATGCAGTTTTTCCTGAGGGGTGGAGCTACAGGAAAAGTCTAAAATCACTCGACTTTTTAGCTGATAAAAAAAAGTTTCTTTACGTAAAAATGCTGGAACAGATTAAGAAAGTGCCACAACATTTCAGTCTTCCGGTGAGTCGCAGGTTCATGAAGCGAGCTCACCTGGACTCCCCGGAGGAGACCGGTCTTAACCTGCTGGGGGGGGGGGGGTCCAACAGACACCTGACTGGAGGAATTTGACTGGTGGTGCGTTTGTGTTTGTTTGACATCATGACAGCAGACAGGTGGGAGCTTCACAGCAGCTTCAAGGTTTTAATGAACCACATGGAGGCAACGCAGACAAGCAACCACCCTCATCCACCCTGTGTGTGTGTGTGTGTGTGTGTGTGTGTGTGTGTGTGTGTGTGTGTGTGTGTGTGTGTGTGTGTGTGTGTGTGTGTGTGTGTCAGGACTGATTCACTGTCAGTTGAAATCCATGACGACTGATGAAACTGTTTTTATTCTCATCGGGATAAAATGAGTTTATGAAGGAAAAGGTTTTGGAAATGTGACTTTAAAAGACAGTGACTCAGACCTGGTCTGTGAGAGCGTGTGGTGACTGACAGATGGACAGAAATATATATTTATTGATAAATAATAAACATATATGAACAGAGAGAATATAGAACAAAGAGAACAGATAAAGAGGTTTTGACTTTACTGGCCCTGGAGGACTTGAAGGTTTATTATTTAAGATATCAATTTGTGATTATTGGAAGTTTTGACACCATATAATAATAATAAGAGTTGTTACAGATGCAGGTATCAGAAGCTGAAAGCTAAAATTCCTCAAATTGTCGAGGGAGTCTGGCAACTTCCAGCTTTGTTAACGTTTATCCTCTTAGTGTCGGGAGCAGACTGAACACCGCAGATCTGATTTTGACTAGACTGGGGGGATGATGCAGTTTTAAATGACGTCATAGATGATTTTGAAGACGCTGAAACTGGGTTTGTTCAGGTGCTCCTCATCACTTCCTAGTAGACTCAACCATTGAGGGACATGATGTAGTTCAGCCTGCATTTATTAAGATACTACATTAGTCGAATACTCGACACCACTCAGTGATATGGAAACATGATCTAGCTTTTTATTTTAAGATCACATTAATCCATTTAAATGTTGAGCTCCAGCTGAGTGCATTTACCAGCAGATATTATCACCATCTGGCAAAATTAACTTTTCGTCGCCTACAGCTCGTTAAGCTGATAATTAGAAACTCAAGTTCTTTGTCTTTTAAAGAGGTGATATTCTGCTTTTTGGATTTTTACCTCTCCTTTAAGAAAAAAACACAACCTTTATTGAGTTATTTCCCTTGTTTGTGCATGTAACAGGTTTGCAAAGTGGAAAAGGGAGTTCCCATCTCCCACAGACAACTCTCTGCTCTGAGCTGCCTAAAAACTGCTCGTTTGTAGTCCAGAGCATGTGCAACTCCCACCAAAGATCATTTAGAGACAAGATGCATCACTCCATAGCTAAAACGAAGCCTTCAACACAGGGTGGAAAGAGGAGCTGCAGCAGCAATGTGCAGTATGACAAAATATATAAGCATGTAAACCTGTTCTGGTACAACCTCTAAATAAGATTATTGAGCAGAATACCACCTCTTTAAAGGGAAAGATTTTCCAGCCCGTTCTCATTGCAGGGCGTCAAATAAGGACGCTTTCTCAGACTTTCACAATAAAACATGTTGGATAACTTTGCAGGTTGGTCAGGTTTAGATTTTGATTAAAAAAAATAAACGTTTCTGATCCAAGTTGAGACTTTTGAGACACACTAACTAACAGCCAGGTCGCGTGATACTGAGGACTGCAAATGATGAACCGTTTGGGCCTTTAAAGAACGTGTTTACGACGCGTTGAGTCCTTAAATAAAAAGACTTTGGCTTCTGACGCCAGTAAAGTCGCTCACTACAGACAGAGAGAGAGGAACAGACAGCAGACCGTCTCCTACCTTCATGGGTGAGATGTGAGCGTGGGTGACGTATCCGTGCACATTTTCGATCTGGGAAAGGTTTTTCTCTGCTACCTGGACCAGCTCCGCCGCCCCTGCCTCCTCCGTCAGCTGTGGGGAGCTCTGGTCCTGGGGGGACGAGTCCTCATCGTGGTGCCTGTACTTCTGAAACAGGAAACACAAGAACACGGTTCAGCACGGGAGTTTTAGTTTTAGTCTGCGCTAAATGAAGATATTATACAGATATATTTACACAAAAACATCAGATCACAGAGGACCCATGTCTTTCTGTACAAGGTGAAGGGATTGTTGGTTCACACCACAATCACCCAGCAGCCAGGATCCTCCAGACGACGAGTATTTTACAATCATGGCTGCAACATAATAATTAGACGCGTCTCTAAAACAAAGGTTCGGTTCACGCAAAACGAAACATACACGTGTCAGAAGTGTAAAAAACACCTCAAACTGCAATGACACATTTATGATCTTTGGTTTTCTATTCCCCAAAAAAGGGTGCGGCCATCGAGCAGTGCCGAGGCCCCTGGGTAATGTAGTATTGAGAGAAGCCAGAAATAGTTTAAACTGGTGTTCAGAATCTAAATATTTGATGGTTACATCCTCCAGGAGAGAGCTGTGTGCGCTCAGTCGGCAACAGCGAAGTGCCGTGGCATGAAAATCAACGTTTATCACGCCTGCACGTCTTTTATTTATTTTCAGAGGGAGACTTTATACACAAAGGTTTATTCTGTGAAATAAGTTATCGTTTTCATTCCTTTAAGGGCCATTGTTACTGCTAATAATAACTTTCTTTCTCTTCTTTTTAAACGTTGAAATGTAGATTGTAACAGGCTGTATATTAACTTACTGGGAGAAAACTGGTAGTTCTATGTAAAGTCAGACGTTGAGCATCCTTGTTTCACTGCGAAGCTTCAACTGTGAGATTGACAGTCGAATCAGGCTCCGCCCATCGAAGCATCGAATCTTTGACTATTCGGGGTCAGCTCTAAGTGATTTTTGAAGTGATCCTCTGTTTGGCATCAAGTGTTTGTCCATAAAGAAAAGTTGAACTGCACAATTAACCATCTGGTTTTTTCAATTTTCAGTCAGGAGCAAATATTTAAACTTTAAACTTGAAAGAAAATGTTTTTTTATCATGATAACATCGCAGTTGAAGAAACCTGATGGTTAAATTGTGGTTTAAACTTTTCTTTATGGACAGAACAAAATCTTTTTCAACTAATATGCACGAGTAAAATTAAGTAAAAGCTGTTTGTCTTGTTTGTTTCCTCAACAAAATAACCATCTTAATTAAGTTCTAATTCGTGTCAAGTGAATAATAGAAAACATTTATTGAATATTTATAGAACATGTGTTATATTCTTATTGGAAAAAAAAAAAAATAATCAAATTGCGATAATTAGTTATCGTTTTATTGTCCAGCCCTGTAACAATCTCATACCGTTGCGCACCTGGTGTTCAGTAACGTGGAGGAGATGGTCTAAAAAAGAAGATCTGAGAGGGAAACAGACCGGATTAAAAGAAGTGGACGTACTATGATGTCACCGGTTGGTTTGTGGACTCGAGTTTGGCATTTTGGCCGCTGCCATGTCGATTTTTGGCAACCGGGCACTGGACGTGACCATATTTGGATGAAATGGTGGTCGCTATGGTAGAGACTTGTCAATCAGCTTGTAGCCCCGCCCTAAAGCCTGCCCTGCTTCCTGGTCTCTGTTCCTCTAAATGGGACCATAATTTTCTAAATGAACATCATGCTGTGTTGAAGAAGACTTGAAACTAGAGACTGAGACCAGAAACTCATCAGGAAAGAGTTTACTGAGGGAATAAATCAGCTGACAAGTAGAAACATTTTCTCACAGACTTCTATACAATCACACTTCTTTCTACAGCCGCCAGAGAGGACGCAGGTTTACGGCGCCCCCCCGCTGGCCGGCAGAGAGGACGCAGGTTTAAGGCGCCCCCCCGCTGGCCGGCAGAGAGCACGCAGGTTTAAGGCGCCCCCCCGCTGGCCGGCAGAGAGCACGCAGGTTTAAGGCGCCCCCCCGCTGGCCGCCAGAGAGGACGCAGGTTTACGGCGCCCCCTGCTGGCCGCCAGAGAGGACGCAGGTTTAAGTTGTTGCCGCTAAAACTCACGGTCAGAAGCACCAACATCAGACCCGAGCTGTGATAATCATCCTTTAGGAGGGACTGAAAACAAAAGCAGAGCACAGACGTGGGCCGAGGCGACGCTGACATTTTCCTCTTCACGCCGTCTCTGTGGATCCACAGACATCCTGATGAGTCAGAGTCTTACTCATCTGTTGTCCGGCTTTAAACAGGAGGGAGGTTCATGTTGACAGGCAACGACTCGGCCGTCCTGAACTCTGCCGTTACATAACAGGACCCAGACTGTCCACCTCTGAACGCCGCCTCACTGGACAGGTGTTAACTATTCGTCGGGGCTATTTATAGATGAACATCCACTGCAGGTAGTGAACCGTCTGTTTCAGTTTGTCTCCCGCTGATTCCTTTTTGTTCACTTATTTTTTGTCACATCTTGGAAAAATGAACAATTGAACTTTATTCAGCGACCTACAACTCCATTTACTCACTTTTATCCAAAGTAACTTAACATGTGAGGAACAAAATACAAGCTTCAATACCGTAGAGATCCACGACAACAGGTGCAGCAATAAATACTACTAAGAGCTTTTAGCGCATACGACATCAATAGTATGAAGTAGAGCTTTTTTTTTTTTTTTTTTTTTTTTTAAATCGAATTACAATTTGATTTGCGGTTTGTTTTGTTTTTTAATCGAAGTTTTGCTAAAGTTCAATATTTATGGTCTACCTGTCTGTCTATTTTTGACGGAAGTCGTGTCAAGCAGCACAGAGCAGGTGAACCGGGCAGGAACGGCATGGAAAATCCGAGTAAAATAAAAATCAAAATAAAACACCCTTTGCAGACTCCCGATCGTAGATCAACAATAAACACAGTTAAAACAAAAAAAGAAAAATGGTATGGCAGAAGCACAAAAATCAAGGACAACCGAACAAATAAGCAAAATCTGAACAAGTCAGCAAAATCAGACTGACAAAACGCTCTTATTCTGAAATGCTCCGTGTGGATACGTAACGTTAGCCTGCAGCGAGCGGAACAAAGAGCTGCTAGCTGTAGCTGAAGCAGGCTGAACGCTCCGCTGCTGAAACACTGCGGCGAGAGTTGTCAGACTGGGAATACTGTATGATCACATTCAACTACTCGCGACACGCCGATCAATATCTGGGACAAATCCCCCATTATCTGTGCATTTCTACAGGAAACACGTAAATAGAAAACATCCCTTTGTTCTTAAAGTAATCCCTGTGTGTAATCCTCATTTTTACAAAGTGTACCTGTACTGTAACGGAATACAGTTATATTTTTGTATCCTGATTATGTAACGCAGTTACATGTAATCCGTTACTTCCCAACCCCGGTCCTTCGTCACATCATCACTTAACGCGTCGACCTGTGAATTATGCATCACAAGTGAAAACGGCGCTCCACGTGCTGTTGAATCGAAACCACAAAAAAGTTTCATATACACTGAACCACAGAGCCAGAAGATGCTCCACTCTCGAGTGCGCTGCTGCCTCGTCAGCGAGCGTCAGAATTTCTTCTTCACGGGTTCAAACACGTATTAAAAAGCCTAAATAATCATCTGAGTGTGAGCTGTTGTAAAGGCCAGACACTGCAGCTAAAAAGATTTAATACATATCACCATGAAACCTTCCTAGTCCTTTTGGCATCACAGGTTTTATGACATTTTAAGTTAAAATTTGCAAATGAGGCAGTATCTCATGAAATATGCACTGAAGTGAAATCTGAACACTGGATTAGGTCAGGTTCAAAACTGTTTTGAAAATTGACATATTAGATTTAAACCTTTTTTTATAGAGGGAATTTTGGACAAAAAAAAAAAGCATTAAAAAGCAGTTTTTGCCATGTTTTTTGGGAATAAAATGTTCTATAATTCAGGCTATGAATTATATATGAACAAACCCCTCTGTACAAACCTGCAGAATAAAGTCAGGAATGAAACTGGAAAAGTTTGGTGTCTAAAAGCTGCTGAAGTTTAGATTTCAGGCTCAGAGGACGAGAAAAAAAACGACCTTTAAAACATAAATATTGTAAAATTCAACACGTTTTCTTAAAAATCAATATGTGCCGAGCAGATATCTAATCATATCCTTTACAAGATCACAGAAGATCTAAAACGCATTACACTGATACCTGAGTTACAGTCTCACAGGCAGAAAGCACGCCACGTGACGCATCTAAACCAATAGATGGAGACATAAAACTTTATTGAAATTGCGTTGTTGCAGCTGCAACATTGACACATAATTTACAGACCAGACGTATTTACACAAACTAACATATAATGTACAAAATGTCCTTTTTAAAAAAATGTATATAAAAATATCAGGTGAGAAATCGACACTGGGAAATCAGATTTCACGCCTCCGTACTTTCACGATGTTGTTGGTACAGAGGAAATGACCATATTAGGGTGCAGGAGAGAGAGAGAGAGAGAGAGAGCGCTTTCCAGCAGGAGGACATGCAGCATTTCAAAGCTAACCTCTTAAATCTATAGACGCACAGAGACAAACTGCTGAACTACTAAATGTGAAGTTTTTCTTTCCACACGGCCGAAAGAAGCAAAACTGCCCAAAATCTCTGAACTGAGCCGTGCAAGATGAAACGTGTGGAGCCTTAACAGCTGATCACACCGTTCAGCAGTGAAAGCGGCCGAGTGTGAAAAGGCAGGCGGGCGCTCGTTGAAGAGAAATCACACGTTTCACTTTAACACCTTCTGAGGGGCTCCGGAGCCGACTCCTGATCTGACAACTTTAAGAATTAAAATCAGAACTGAATCGAGGTTCAAAGAGAAGAAAGAGGCCAACAGCAGAACGGCTTTAAGTTTTGTAGCTGTTTCATCACTAAATACACTTGAGGAGAGAAATCAGCTGTGTAGAACTTGGATATTGGCAGTTTTACAAAAGTTGGTGGCGAATCGAAAATGTTCTCAAACGTTTTCGGGGGTTCAGAAGCTTCAAAAGCGCCCGCGGGGGTTAGCGGCGGCAGCCGGCCGGCCCTGGTCCCAGTTACTCAGACCACT